TGTATGTTTTTTTTTTTCCAGAAATTATTTTTTTCTTTGTTACACCACATGACATTTGTACAGTCATTACACTTTTTTATTTATTTTGTTATCAATGTTAACTATTATTATTATTAATTATATATATAATTATATATATATAAATATATAATTAATTATATATATATATATGTACATGTTTTTTACTTGGTTACACCACATGATATTTGTACAGTCATTAAATAGATTTTAATTTATATTGTTGATAATAATAACAACAATAACTATGTTTAGATTTAATAATTAAAGAAGCTAATATTTTTTCGCAATTTCTGGTTTATCAATTTATGATTTAATAATTCATGATATTTGTAAAAAAAAACAAAAAAACTTATCTTGAAAACAATTTTTTTTAATCTTGAAAATAATAACAAAGATGTGTACAAAATATTTTCTTTGTTATGCTACTTGATGATTTTATTTAAGTAGTATAAAAGTTTTTGTAACCAGAATCGTTAAATGTGAATAACACGTTAAAGTACAACTCATAGTAATTATTTTTTTTTTTTAATTACTCTTATTTGAGCATGTTTAATTGCTTTAAATCAGCAGGAAAATAACTTCATCACCATTTCTGATTCCTTCTGCATGGCCTTCTTTGAAACGATTGCTATAAAGTGGCCTGTTATCAGTCCGTAACTTGATAGCGGGCCGTTACACCTTTCACCCAAACCAGTTAAATAGCATTTCCTCTCAGACTTCCCTTTCAGCCTGGAATAACACAGTACAAACTCCCTCACCCCGACTGCGTGCACTCCACTGTTACGCAACCCTTGCCGCCTTTGATTATACAATGAAGATTACGCTACACACTACGCATCCGCCAGCGCACCAAAATGTCGTCCAAGGCAGGGAACGTGTCGTGATATTTGCATTCCTGAGGGTGATTTACGAGGCGCAGATGGCGATATATCTCACGGAGGTCCCTGTTTGCCATGACCCGTTTCAATAAAAGCTCTTTCTGTGTCACGTCTACGAGGGAATTTCCCCACCCGTTGTTTCTTTACTTGAACTAATGTTGCCGACTGTAAATGCCTGGAGTTCCCTGTTCTGTTTTACAGGCTAGATGGTCCTGAAGAGCACGGGTGATTTATTGGAAGGTAGCGGTCCTCCTCAGTATTGACTCTGCCGCTCGATAATATAGATGAGCGCACTGCACTGTTGCAGGGATTTAATTCGGCTGTGCTGTGAGATAAAACGCATCGATGCGGTGGCACCGTTTCTACCTGATTTGATTGGACGCCGCAGTATCTCTGTTATCTGATTGGCCTTGACACACTGCCTTTTGATGATGTTCCTATTTGCATACTTTTGCATATTTTATGAAGGGAATGCAAGACAGGCGACTTTAATGTTCGAGAAGTTCAGCCAGCTAACTGAGCATTCATTAGCAGGCTAAATGTTGCTCAAAACCAGCTGTAGTCTGTTAAGAAGGGAGCAGATAGGTGTTACATCACACGACGACACCATCTAGAAATAGAATGAAACCCCATCGCTCATAAACCGTTCATGAGCAAGAACCCAAGGAGGAGACGAAAGCCATCCCTCTCACAAACTATCCACATCCCACATATGCCCAGTGATGGGGAAACACTTTCCACTTCATTTCTCTGTATAATGAGGATGTGATCTGGAATGGTGGACACCGGGGTCATGAGGAAATGGGTCACTTTTCAGAATTAGCCCACTTGTGGTTATGCAGCATTTCAATGTGGAACTGAAAATATGTTTGTGCTCGCTGATGCTCTTTTCTGGAGGAAGTCCAAAGCTGAGCGGATGTCTTGAAATGGTGGCTTAATATAGAGCAAGTGTGAGATATTATTTGAATAAACCACCCTAAAATGTATGTGAATGTGTCATTTGTATGCTTTAAATCGGTATTTAACTTTAGAGTGTCAAATCTTGTTCAGGTTTAATTTCAAGTAAATGTTCCTGTGCTAAGAAAAATTTTTAAGTGTAAACTGACATTTTGGCTGCTCTGTAAAGCCATAGTCACAATGAATCCAACTGTCAAACTCAAGTAAACAGAAGTGTTTTGTAGTAGCCCTCATGTAAACAATTTTAGTGGCAGATGCTTTTACTGCTCTGCAGTGTTGGTGCAACAGCGCCCCCACAATGTAATGGCCACTTTTGATACTACAACTTGTTATTCAGCCATGCAGGGCTGTGAATCCCTTGGTAACCTCTGGCAGCATAGTACACACTCCGGTTCCTGCTGACAAAGAGAGCTTTTACCCCCGTATTGCACTGTAAAATAGACTTTTTATACACACTCTGAGTGAAAGGCAGCGAGCCTGGCAATGTCCATATCTATTCTGTTGCCGTTTTTAGTGTACATTATGTGAGCTGGCTTTCTGATATTTTTTTTGTCCTTTCTTTCTCATGCTAGTGTCCTGCGTGCTGACCTCATGGTGTAAGCAGATGTGAAGATGAGTATTAGCAGCGATGAGGTCAACTTCCTGGTGTATAGATACCTGCAGGAGTCGGGTAGGTGCTGCTTAATCGAAACAGCCCAAATCAACACTCCAAAATTGTATCCAAAACGACAGTTACACAGCTTTTGTGTAACCAATCATGGTTAATAATGACTGTTTTTTGGTCCAAAAATGACCAAAAAAATCTCAAAGTATAATCAAAATTGTCTACATGTCTTGACGAAATTACTATTTAGACTATTACTTTCACTCTCTATTGGAGATTACTCACAGATATGTAAACGTATCCGTCAGTAATACAGGTGCATCTCAATACATTAGAATGTCATGGAAAAGTTAATTTATTTCAGTAATTCAACTAATTTGAGTTTTGGGATATAATCTGTTATCAGCGTTGATTACAGTAAAACACTGTGACTGTTCACAGGGTGTTGTTTAAATGAACACACACACACACACACACACACACACATGATACTCTCATAGCCGTGAGCTGGAGAGAAAGTTGATCCAGCAAGCGTCACACTTAAGTGTTTATCATTCCCTCTGGTAGGGTTTTCCCACTCGGCCTTCACATTCGGCATTGAGAGCCACATCAGTCAGTCTAACATCAATGGCGCCCTAGTGCCCCCTGCTGCCCTGATCTCCATCATCCAGAAGGGCCTGCAGTACGTGGAGGCTGAAGTCAGCATCAATGAGGTGAGAGCACAGCGTTATTTACAAAATCAATTAAGGCACCTACATTTATCTGCATCAAGGATTTTTTTTTATTATTAACGGTCGCATTTGCATATTAAATACTTACTATTAGATTCATTTTTAGATGAATGTTAATTAGGTGAATCTCACAAAACATGATATATTTTAAGGATGTTTATTGTATAGTGCATATTATTATTATTAAAAAAAAAATATATATATATATATATATATATACAGTGGGTATTTTCTGTCAATATGGGGTGCTGTGTGTACATTAATGAGAAAAAAAAAATAACTTAAATGATTTTAGCAAATGGCTGCAATATAACAGAGTGAAAAATTTAAGGGGGTCTGAATACTTTCTGTACCCACAACTAAATATTACTATAAAAACTATATTCTCTCTATATATATTTATTTGATAATATGTAATTAATATATATATGTTATATATATATATATGATTGTCATTTTAATTTTAGTTAGTTTTGGTAATTTTAGTTTTATGTTTGTGCCACATATAAAAATAATAAAGATACTAGTATAGTTGTTATAGTTATATTCCGTAACATGTTATAGTAATACTTAGAATACGTTTTTATTTCTATATATTCGATTTTAATTTTAAAGTTAGTAATTTTGTTGTTCTTTGACATTTTTAATATTTAAAATTGTAAAATTATTACTATTATTCTATTAATATATAATAAACAATACATATTTTACATTTTAATGATTGTAATTGTTTTATGCTTAATTTAGTATTTGCTTTGTGATATTAATGACAAAAGTCCTGGTGGTTTAAAAAATAGGCTTCATATTCATAATGCAAAAATATAATTTCTTGTATTATTCTTTTGAGTGTGAGGGGAAATGCATCCTGGATATGTTTTCATGAGATTGACCCAGATAATGAGATTTGTTATGATGCAAAAATCCTGTTGACGTCAAATTGAGTGCACGACTGACATGTTGACTCCTGTCCACAGGACGGCACGCTGTTTGATGGGCGACCGATTGAGTCTTTGTCATTGATTGACGCGGTGATGCCTGATGTCGTACAGACCCGGCAGCAGGCGTACCGAGACAAACTCGCCCAGCAACAGGCCGCCACAGCGCCCTCGGCAACCAGCGCCAACATGCAGGGTAACACCAAAAACGGAGAAAACACCGCAAACGGAGAGGAGAACGGTGCTCACGCCTTACCTAGTGAGTCACTTTACTCTGCTTATCATTGTTCATAACAATTTTTTCCCCATTACTTCCTGAAAATGTCACATAATGGTGTGAATGTTGTAGCTTTCCATTATGTACTGTGGCTGTGAATCAAAGAACTGTTGTGTTTTCTCTCAATGATGAATGTCATGAGACACCTGTGTGTTAGTCAGTGTAATTCCTCACGACCATCTATCTTTACAGATAACCATGCAGACATGATGGACATGGACGTGGATGTGGAGATCCCTCAGAATAAAGCCATGGTGCTGAGAGGTCACGAGTCGGAGGTCTTCATCTGCGCCTGGAACCCTGTCAGTGACCTGCTCGCCTCCGGGTCAGTTATACAGTCCGCTTGTCGTCTGACTCTTTTCATCACTGAATCCATTCAGTCGTTCATCCACGCTGAGTACATGCTGCACTAATACTGACCTTTTAAAATGGATTGGCATCTGTCAGATGTCACAGATTCAGATTCAGGGCTCTTATATGACTCTGGGTTAGTCATAGGCATCACTGTCAAGCTACAGAAAGGGCACTCCAGTAACTCTAGCACTCTAGTAACACGTTGTAATTTGTAGTTTTTCATTTTTATTAAAAATACAGAAGAGTGTTATAAATGACCCCCCAACAAAATAAATAAAAAATCGCCATAAGATTTGCGCCTTGTTACTTTTAATATTAAAGAAAATATCAACTTTATATCTGCTCTTTAAAATGTACGTTTGAATAAATCCATCATAAAAAGTTTGTCAGCCACCTTAAATGTTTTATATTTCAACAACAAATTGGAATTGTAGAAACAATTATATAATTGAAAGTTTATTATGTTATTATAAAAACTGCCTTATGTGCAGTTTAAATGATTGTATACAAATCAGTTGTTAATTTTAACTTTTAAAAAAATTGTAATGTACCAACTGATAGTATAGTTTACAGCATAGTTGAGAGATTTGTTTTTTCTTTGATATTTACCTTGATATATATTTAAATGAATCGAACCGAGATCACAATTGAATCGAATCACAAGCTTGTGAATCAAAATCGAATCGAATCTTGAAATTTGTGTCAATACCCAGCACTAGTGTGGAATAGATATTATAAACAGATGAAGAATAGAAGCTGAAGATTGTTCCAGTATCAATATTTGGGAGAAAAAAAGTGCTTTTGGTGCGTCTGTAGAAAATGGAAGTCAGTGAATGCATGTTATTTAATACTCTGACTCTCCACAGCTCTGGAGACTCAACGGCACGCATCTGGAATCTGAGTGAGAACAGCAGTAGTAGCTCTACACAGCTCGTCCTCAGGCACTGCATACGAGAAGGTGGCCAAGACGTGCCCAGCAACAAAGACGTAACATCGTTAGACTGGAACGTGAGTTTAGCTCCGACACGCTCCCTCTGGTCTAAAACTGGGTGTATATTAAAAGACTAACATTTCCTCCTTGTGTTTATCAGAGTGAAGGTACACTTTTAGCCACAGGCTCATATGACGGCTTTGCAAGAATATGGACTAAAGATGGTAAGCAAACAGGTTTTTTTGCCTTCTGTGCCAACATGCTTTTCTCTGTCATTCCTTTCAGCAGACTGACAACTGTTCATTCACAGGTAATCTGGCCAGTACCTTGGGTCAACATAAAGGTCCAATATTCGCATTAAAATGGAACAAAAAAGGAAACTTTATCCTAAGTGCTGGTGTTGATAAGGTAAGAAAAGCTACAGTGTAGTAAGAGAGTGTAGTTAGAAAGTAGTAAGAAAGCACCGAGTATATCACTGATATACTATTATATTTTTATTAAATATTTAGAATTAGATTTTATTTTTACATTTTGTTTTCACTTTCATTTTAAAGTTTTAGTAATTTTGTAGTTTTTGTCATTTTTATTTATTTACGTTTTTGTCCCCTTTTCTATTCTTTTTATTTATTTTAGTTTTAGTCATTTTAGTATTCAAGTTAAACTAAATGAAAATGAAAATTTGCCCTGGCAACTAGCTGAAATAAATGTTTTTTTTTTTTTTATTACAGTTTTAATTTTATTTTTTTATTTTCAAGTAACACAATTTTTTTTATGGTTTAGTTAGCAATAATAAGCCTGAAATAGGGTTTTCCAAACGGGTGGGAACTGCAGGGAGTTTATGAAAAGCTAAATCATAGAAATGTAAAAGTAAAATAAATACATTTTGAAAAAATATATACATATATGTATTAGATAATATATGATGAAATATTTTATTTGCTTACCTGGCAACATTTCAAGTGACAATTTCCGACATCAGAGAACCATGAACATGAATGTGTTGTTAAAGCATTGAAATATTAACTTTAAAATATTAAATCACGTGGTATTTATATACTTCAATAAAAAAAAATTAGGTTAGGGGTTCAACTGGGGGGGGAAAAAATAGTAAATTGCTGGTCTACAACACATTGCGAAGGCGTGTACATTCTTCAGAAAATGTAAATATCTAGTTAATAGTCTTTTATTTATGTGTTGCTAGTGGCACATATATTACCCATGTCAGCTTATACGTAACAGTTTACCGTGTAACAGTTGATTTAATATTTCCTTCTTTTCTATAGACAACAATCATTTGGGATGCTCACACAGGGGAAGCCAAACAGCAGTTCCCGTTTCATTCAGGTTCACATAAATTCCACTTAATACTTAATTGTTCACAATATCTGAATAATATTATCCATTATTTTGAGGGAAAAAGCTCTTATGCTGTAGCCTTTTCTCCCTCTCACTTCAGCACCCGCTCTGGACGTGGACTGGCAGAGTAACAACACGTTTGCTTCCTGTAGCACAGACATGTGCATCCACGTGTGCAAACTAGGCCAGGACCGACCCATTAAGACATTCCAAGGACACACAGTAAGACCTGTCTGCTCGTCCTCCCGTTTCCTACAGCTCCAATCTGCCAAAAAGATCAGTATCAAACTCTTTCTCTCTGTACCCAGAATGAAGTTAATGCAATCAAATGGGATCCAACCGGTAACCTGCTGGCGTCGTGCTCTGATGATATGACTCTTAAGGTATGACCCCTTACGACGCTGGCTACACTATTTATCAATTCAGTCATATTTTCGTACCAAGTCTGTGGTTAGGCCTGTCACGATAACAACTTTTTGTTGTGCGATATATTGCCCCAGAAATAATTGCGAAAAGCGATAGTATTGTAATTTTAAAAACCATTTTATGCCACTGAATATATAATCATAATAATGCAAGAAGGCCTACATACTTCCAAATGACAACAAACTTTTAATTTTAAGAATATTTAGATCATGGAAATTAAGTATCAAAATATTAGAAACCTTAAAAAACCTGAATAAATAGTAAATAAACATTTTCTAACAAAAAGTGCAAAGTAACAAGTAGAAAAAAAGAAAAATGCACAAATTAAGGGTGCCCACTATTGCTGAAAAACACAATCACTACTTAGCAGTCAGATCCCTAAACAAGGCCATATCTGCAGATGAAACTTTTTTTTGTAGAAGCATTTTTTACATTTGAACTAGCACCTCATGACTACACCGCGTTATGTTTCGAGAAGCTGCAAAAGATAAAGGCGCAAGTGAAATGTACAAAACATGGGGACATTAATTTTTAAGTAAATATAATGGCCGATATATTGCGTCAACAAAAATGATTGAGGTCATGTACATATATTGCGTGATAAGTCGATATATTGATTATTGCGACAGGCCTATCTGTGGTGCACATTTCAGCGGGTGTTTGGATAATGCAAATGCTGTTCTGGTGGTCTAAATAATTGCTTCTTCCAATGTCCTAGATCTGGAGTATGAAACAGGACACTTGTGTTCATGACTTGCAAGCTCATAGCAAAGAAATCTATACTATCAAATGGAGTCCCACAGGTCCAGGAACCAACAACCCCAATGCCAATCTAATGCTGGCCAGGTAGAGTCACCATCCTTTTAATACACTCTCACCAGCTGCTGATGGATTAAGGCAGTTTTCACAAATATTTCACTTATAGTATACTTATAGTACACATTCAAATTTAAACCAAATCCAGTTCAGTGAACCAGCTCTATGTGACCTCAGTAATTCTGATGTTCACGATGAAAACAGACTTAAAAGGGGATTCTATCGAACCACAAAATAACCAAAAACAAACTATACTCAGTCTGTACGCCTTTTGGCTACATTATATATAATCTACTCATTTTGAAAGGCTTACTCTTGAGGTTTCAAATTAATGAAAGTTGGAGGAAAGCTATTAAAGGGATAGTTCACCCAAAAATGAAAATGTGATGTTTATCTGCTTACCCCCAGGGCATCCAAGATGTAGGTGACTTTGTTTCTTCAGTAGAACACATATGATGATTTTTAACTTTAACCGTTGCAGTCTATCAGTCTTATAATGCATGGCAATGGTAACAAAATCTATGAGAGTAAAAAAAACATGCACAGACAAATCCAAATTAAACCCTGCGGCTCGTGACGACACATTGATGTCCTAAGACACGAAACGATCGGTTTGTGCGAGAAACCGAACAGTATTTATATAATTTTTTACCTCTAATACACCACTGTCCAACTGTCTTTGGGCGCGTGCACGGCATCCGGTGCGTGAGGTGTGTACGTGCTCTGGCGTAGTTTGCGCAAGCACCGGGAGTGATCTCTCGCGCGTATACGTCACTCATTGTTTACACAGTCATTGTAGGTACGACGGCTAATCAAAATGGTACGTACTTGTGCTTATCCTGATTGTTCAAACCGACATAAAACTAAAAGATTATGTTCTCTCGCGCGAACTCATTCAGGAGTGGTGACTTTCCACGTATTCCCAACTTCTGAGCCTGCTCGCCTGAAGTTATGGTTGATTACTCAGTTTCTGGCACAAACCGTTTCATGTCTTAGGACATCAATGTGTCATTACGAGCCGCAGGGTTTAATTTGGATTTGTCTGTGCATGTTTTTTTTACTCTCATAGATTTTGTTACCATTGCCATGCATTATAAGACTGATAGACTGCAACGGTTAAAGTTAAAAATCATCATATGTGTTCTACTGAAGAAACAAAGTCACCAACATCTTGGATGCCCTGGGGGTAAGCAGATAAACATCACATTTTCATTTTTGGGTGAACTATCCCTTTAATGCATGTTAAATTTAAAAAAGGGGAGATGAGTGATATAATGCTGCCATATAATATCCATTTTTATTTAGATGATTTATTTAGTTTTGTTTTATATTTTGTATGGTATAGAAATGTTATATTACCATTGATCAGTTATCTTTGAAAGTTTGTTTCTGCAATGTAAAAAAAAACAAATAAAAATAGTTTTTATCACAATTATTTAATTATTTTGACTTTTATTTCAATTGTTTGTCGTTTGACTTTTTCATAGAATTGTGAGTTTATGTCTTGCAGTTACAAGTAATTGTGAGTTTACATCTTTGTAAGATTGGTCGCAATTACATTTTTTTTTTATTATCCCGTGGCATATACAAGCTACCATAGTTATCAGCCGTAAAATGTTTTAAATAATAATTAAAAAAACGTATTAAAATAATAGCTCATTGGTATTGTCTAGATTTTTTTTATTTTGTATTTTTTTTAGTGTTGCATCCCTAATAAAAATGTGTGCGGTTTAATAAAACTATAACCTAAACAAAAATTGATCGTTATCTTTTTCCTCTGACACCTCTAGTGCTTCCTTTGACTCCACTGTTCGGCTCTGGGATGTAGATCGAGGCATCTGCATTCACACACTAACCAAACACCAGGAGCCTGTATACAGCGTGGCCTTCAGCCCTGACGGACGCCATCTAGCCAGCGGCTCTTTTGACAAATGTGTCCACATCTGGAACACACAGGTAAGTGGAGGTCCTCCGATTCATCCCATCCAGAGAATGTCAAAATGCAGCCCGAGCTGAACTCTTTTGTCGCTGTCATTTCCACAGACTGGTGCTTTAGTCCATAGCTACAGGGGGACAGGGGGCATTTTTGAAGTTTGCTGGAATGCAGCAGGAGACAAAGTAGGAGCAAGTGCGTCGGATGGCTCTGTAAGTACAAGTTTAGTACGCTGCACCTCAAATAAAGGTAATGGATATATGGTGATGCCTATATTAAATATTTTTGTGCTTTCATTGTAGGTTTGTGTATTAGATCTGCGGAAATAGCGCTGCTTGCTGGAAGCCATGGACCGACTATGAATGTGTACATAGCCAAAATGACTGTCCCTGACCCTCAAACTGCTACAGTCCCTAGTGAACCATGGCCAGCCACTACAGACAAACAAACACAAGCACCCTGACGCCACAGGCTGAGCGGAGAGGATGTGATTCCAACCAGAGACATTCAAATGACTTTTGTAAGGTGGGAAAAAAAACAATATAACAGAGGAAGAAGACGAGAGGATTGGTATATGTACCAAATTTGGAAGATATTTTACTATTTGTTCTTCAAAATCTCATCAAAATAAACGAACGAAAGGATTTTAATCTTTGTTGGTAGTTTCCGTTTCAGTGTGCAGACATATCGTTTTCTTTGACCGTCCCTCTTTCTTTTGCACATTTGATTTGACGTCACAGCTGCATGATTCCAGGACTCATGTTTTCCTCCATTTGACACAAGTACAGATATTTAGTCTTTTTGGTACTGGATGTTTTGTGATTTCAACAGTGTGGGGACATGAGAAAAAAAAATTCAATCTTTTTCTTGTTCTTCGGTTTTAGTTTTTATGCTATGGTGTAACTGTAATCTCCCCTTCCCCCCTTGTACCCTGTTTCTCCCCCAAATGAGAGGTACATTAACCACAAAAAAAAGGCACGCACATCTACAGGAAATGCATCCGTTTGCTCATACTACTGTATTTAGTTGGTAGATGTTCCCCTTAAAATCAACACATACAATTCTGTTCCTCAGTTCGAGATGTGGCGTTTGAGCTACTGAGGACCGTTTGACATACATGTAGATTGAAAACAGAAAGACTTGCTTTAGGTTTGCAATATTTTGAGTGAAACCCATCAGCTTATTTTTCATACTTTTGTACTTAGTTTTAATAATTGGATTATTTATGCAATTAATTTTGTCTTTCAGTTCCAGCCATTAAAAAATCTATTACACGGTACGTTAAAAATAAAATTTCGGCATGTTTTTGTTGGAGAACCCAACACCTAAAGCAAGTCTGTTGCACAGAACATTAAACCAATATCTGAAATACATCATTTTGATGCTTTTGAAAATAAAATGTCATTTTTGGGATTCTCTGCACTGTCATGTAATGAGATGCTGATGTTCATTTACAGTAATCGGCTGCATGAGGAGAGTCTATACTAATGTGCTTTGGCTTTTCTCAGTGTTTACACAGTGAAGCTTTTCAATGCCTCGACCATCAAGGGGAAAAAAGTCAGACCCCAAGAATACAAAGTTCTCTGTCCCGTGATAGAGGCTCTGAATCTCTGTTTTAGTCCCTCACAAAGATAGTTTTAGGACATCATGATGTTTAACCTTAAATTTGAAACAAGGGTGTTTTATTTTGAGGTGTGTAAAATCCATCTGAACAAGCCTACGACAACAGAAGGGTGTTTGAGTCTCCCCTTTGCTCTTCTCTGTAATCGCCCCAGCGTCTGCCTGCCCACAGCAACCTTCAGTTCTTCAGCGTCATTTCTAATTATTCTTACTGCATCAGTGGCTCCTGGACTTTTTGTACTCTTTTAAAACTTTTGTAATTCATATTTCTTTGTAGCTATAAAAAAAGACTAAAGAAATAAGCAAAAAAGAGAGAAAAAAAGAAAACCCCAACAAACTACTGGAGGTCGGTTTGAGGGTGTACAGCTTAGACCTCAGTTTTGCTCACTCTGAGTCCCGCGTGTTCTCAGATGTCCCCACACCTGATCTTTGTTTCCCCAGTCAAATGTTTTTGGTTGCAAAAATTCCCCTTGCATTGCATTGATCTGTTGTCATTTGAATCAGATCTGGAGTCCAAAATAAAGTATATTTTGATATTACGGCTGTGTTTTTATTCTCCTAATTTAACTATTTAATAGGAAGTGATGGTACAAATTAACCTTCAAAGTTACTAAACAGCTACAGTTACTTCTAATTGAATCAGACTACTAAGACTAAAGGATGGTTCACCTCCACCCAACCCCCAAAACAAACTTTTCTTCTAAGCTTGAGTTTGGTAAGACTTTTTCAAATGTTTTTGAAAGAAGTCCCATGTTCATCAAGGCTGCAAAAAAAAAAAAAATATATATATATATATATATATATATATACGCACAAATATATTTATAGATGCATATATATATACATATATTTTATTATAAATGTTGGAAACAGTTGTGCTGCTTAATATTTATGTGAAAAGCATACTTTTTTTTTTCAGGATTCTTTGTTGAATAGGAAGTTCAAAATAACATTTATTTTAAATAAAATCTTTTGTAAGATTTTAAATGTCTTTACTGGCGCTTTTGATCAATTGAGTGCATCCTTGTTGAATAAAACAATTTTCCATAAAAAATAAAAAAAGCTTTTGAGCAGCATACAGAATTCCTATTTTGGTTGAACTTTTTCAATAATAAGCTATAGTTTAATAGAAGTAATCTTGCCAAGAAAGCACCTTTACTCTTTTATTACATTATATCAATGCAGTTTTAAAAACGCAGCAGAAAAGTGAATAAACTAGCGGCGTGATCTATACACGCATACGCATCTCACACCTCTTGAATCAAATCACTATATTTTATTCTGTTGTCTTGTGGTTTATTCCTTGTCAAATCACTCCAGCCTGCTCATTAAATCACAGATTATATACTGGACCGCAATAATAGCCCATGATTACCTTAACTTTTTGTAGCAGCTTTTCTGGAAACGTTGCTATGGTTTGATGGCACGACTGCATATTTAATCACTGGGCATTGTTGAGGAAATCAAAATATGTTTTCCTAGCTCACTGAGAGCACATGCAATTTACTGGATGAAAATGAAGTGGGGGGATATAAAAATATGTGTGAACGAGGGGCCTTTTTGCCCAAAGAACATCTATAAATCTTTTGTGTCACATGCTTTATACTGGGGCGGTATTGTAAATGAATTTTGGGGTGAAGGACCGGCCCAGGCTGGTTCTGTGATCAGTGTGTGTATCCTCTGGAGTAGTGGACACATTATCTGTGCTGTGTGTGTTCGGTTTGGGTCACTGGCTCAGTATGAGGTAATAACGGTCCGTTCCTGAGGGATCTCAGCAGCATAGGTTGCCCCACCTGATTTCCAGTCTCTCTCAGCTCTCTCATCCAAGAGAAGAATTGGTGTGGAGGACGAGCGTCATGTTCTCCGTGATCGCTAGGATGCTCTGGAAGACGTCGTAAGCCACGGCGAACAGGAAGTAGATGGGCAGCAGCCAGTGGAGCTTGAAGAGTCTCTTGCTCGCCGCCAGAGGTACCGTCAGATGCCTTAAAACAGGAAGGAGGGGTAAAACAGGAGAATGCATGGGCATATAGATGAACAAAATTTCACATGATGGCAGTTTCAATGTCACATGATTCTTCACAAATCATTAGAGAAAAAATCACGATTTTTGTCAATGTTGAAAACAACCGTGCTGTTTAGTATTTTTGTGAAAAGTGTTATATACTGGATAGCCAGAATTCCTATTTTGGTTGAACTTTTTCAATAATAAGCTATAGTTTAATAGAAGTAATCTTGCCAAGAAAGCACCTTTACTCTTTTATTACATTATATCAATGCAGTTTTAAAAACGCAGCAGAAAAGTGAATAAACTAGCGGCGTGATCTATACACGCATACGCATCTCACACCTCTTGAATCAAATCACTATATTTTATTCTGTTGTCTTGTGGTTTATTCCTTGTCAAATCACTCCAGCCTGCTCATTAAATCACAGATTATATACTGGACCGCAATAATAGCCCATGATTACCTTAACTTTTTGTAGCAGCTTTTCTGGAAACGTTGCTATGGTTTGATGGCACGACTGCATATTTAATCACTGGGCATTGTTGAGGAAATCAAAATATGTTTTCCTAGCTCACTGAGAGCACATGCAATTTACTGGATGAAAATGAAGTGGGGGGATATAAAAATATGTGTGAACGAGGGGCCTTTTTGCCCAAAGAACATCTATAAATCTTTTGTGTCACATGCTTTATACTGGGGCGGTATTGTAAATGAATTTTGGGGTGAAGGACCGCCTCAGGCTGGTTCTGTGATCAGTGTGTGTATCCTCTGGAGTAGTGGACACATTATCTGTGCTGTGTGTGTTCGGTTTGGGTCACTGGCTCAGTATGAGGTAATAACGGTCCGTTCCTGAGGGATCTCAGCAGCATAGGTTGCCCCACCTGATTTCCAGTCTCTCTCGGCTCTCTCATCCAAGAGAAGAATTGGTGTGGAGGACGAGCGTCATGTTCTCCGTGATCGCTAGGATGCTCTGGAAGACGTCGTAAGCCACGGCGAACAGGAAGTAGATGGGCAGCAGCCAGTGGAGCTTGAAGAGTCTCTTGCTCGCCGCCAGAGGTACCGTCAGATGCCTTAAAACAGGAAGGAGGGGTAAAACAGGAGAATGCATGGGCATATAGATGAACAAAATTTCACATGATGGCAGTTTCAATGTCACATGATTCTTCACAAATCATTAGAGAAAAAATCACGATTTTTGTCAATGTTGAAAACAACCGTGCTGTTTAGTATTTTTGTGAAAAGTGTTATATACTGGATAGCAATAATAGCTCACTTGAAGCGCTCAGATCTGGAGGTTCTCGGCATGAGGAAGATGAACAAGCCCACCTCCGTGTTTAAGGAGAAGGAGACCACTTTGTCAAGCATCACAAGAAATCCCTATGCAACAGAAAATAGGATGGAAAATGTTAGTATATATTAGTATATCAATGATACATGATATATTCAACATTTTTCAGGGGTCTTATTTATTAGTGTTGTTATTGTTAACTAGAATTTATTACTAAAACTATTAAAAATCGTTTTTGGTCATTGAAATCAGTCTTAGTATCATTGATATACTAATATAGTTTTTGTAAATATTTAGAATTACTTTAAAAAAATGTTTTTGTAATTTTTATTATTATTTACATTTGTCTATATAGTTTACACAGTATTGTTATAAATTAATTTGAGCTTATTTAGTTTTAGTTATTTTAGTACTTCAAGTTAAAATAATTAGAAAATTAGAAATGTTGTCTTTGCTGAAGTAAAATTATTTTTTAATAGTTTATTTTTTATTTATTTCACTTTATTTTAGTTTGTCATTTCTGTTTTTGTCTTTTTTAGTTTGTTTCTATGGTTTGTCTATATACTATTATTACAATTAACTTTAGCTTTACTTATTTTAGTACTTCAATTTAAAATATGAAGGAAAATAAGAAATATTGTCTTGGCAACTAGGTTTTTTTTTTTTAAAGATAACTATAATAATAACCCTAATGAAAATGAAAGTGATGTGTAGTCAAGTATGGCGTCCCATGTTGGAATTTGTGCTCTGCATTTAACCCATCCAAGTGCACACACACACACACACACAGAAAAAATGTGAAACTTTGACTAGGCAAGTAACTGAAATAAGTGTAAGCTTAAATATTAAAATAACTGGAGAAAAAGAAATAAAGGTAAATAGAAAAATTTAAACATTTTTTTTTTATTCAAATATACAAATAAAGGCTAATTCAAAATATTAATACATACATATAATAGTATAAAAATAATATTAAAATACACTGATAACTGAAGTGCTGCATTTTAAGTCTAATCTATATTTTAATATATTTTTGTAAAATGCATATTT